GGGTCTGGCAAAAATGTTACGACTGGGTCTACATTAAACCGTGTAGCTTTTACTGCATTGCCAGTTCTTGGGTTGATATATTAGGTAGTGGTTAATAAATATTCTAGCGTGACGTAGAGCTCCCGCACCTGAAAACCATTTAAGAAAGCACTTTACCATAAGCCTCTACACGCATCTAAATTTCAAGGAAACATATGAGGCTAACGTGCTGGGAAGAATGGCGAAAAAATATAATACCGCAATTAAGTGGTCGAAACACCGGAGAGAAAAAAGAAATCTGCACAAAACTGATGCACCAAGCTATGTAACAGCATTCGTTCCATTTTTCTCAACCAAGTAAACAGACGTAATGTAAGAAGTCAGCTGCGCTAATCGCAAGTAGCAAAATATTTGCCGACCCTGAAGTAAAACACTTCTGAAAACGTACTGCCACGCGCGTTTATCATTTAAATACCAGGACTTACTCTAACAAGTCAAAAGCACACATGGTACCTTTATTTTAGAGCAAGAACGGAAGATGAGTTGGTGCCATTCAAACAACTTAAAAATAAGTAGTGCGGATACACGTACCTTCGGGCCACGAAGAAAACGAATGTCGACGTCAGTTTGATGAACGACGCGCTCCCATTTCGTTCTTCGGTTGTCCTTAAGAAACGAGAAGACACGCAACTTCGGTCCCTTCGCCGCGACAGTTCACCACACAGTATGGGCGAACCGTTCGGATTTGCAGCCGTACTGACTGCGGATATCCAGTGCACCGAGTGAATCGCATATCCAAGCTTCGGTTCACGGACACAGAAAAACACGGCCTTCTCGAGTCACCAACAAACACGCCAGCAGGCCACTAAAACGTTCGTCAGGCTTGGCAATCCATGTCTGTCGTGCGACGAGAGGAAGCGTAGGCACGTCAGTGCTGCGAAACGCACCAGTCTAAACAAAGCGACGTCATATCCCATGGCATAAACAGTTAGCAGACATGGAATTATCTATGAGGCATTAGAAAGTGCCTGCTAGCGGTGATATTAGCTCACATTACCACGCAAAGTCAGAACTTGCAGTGCCCTGTCCGGCGGCAGCTACAAAGATGTCGGCTGTGACGTAGCTTGCCGTGATGCACAAGCCATGCTTTCATTCCATCTATAGGTGGTATTTGCAAAGTTTTGATAAGAATCTTCCAGTTGTTTTGTATTTGGTGCCTTTTTTTTCGTGTTATCATTGCCAGAAGCCGATGGCAGGCGATCAGTTGCCGTGTTGCACTAACGATCACGCGGGAGGGCCAACAGTCAGAAGAACAGCTTTATTTCCCCTCAGTTTTGGCAGCGCTATCCACGTATCACGTTATCTCGGTTTTGAGGCTATCTGCCACGCACTCGCGTGTTCGGGCTGATATTGCTCACGAAGGTGCATATCACATCAGTATAAGGGGCCACATGGTTTTATCCTTGGTTAACTTTTGTTTATTTTAATAATACAAATCACAAAAAAAACAATCGGTTACACTTGATTGATTGACTGATTGATTGATTCAATCAATCAATCAAGTGTAGCCAATTGTTTCTTTTTTTAACAGGGTTTAACATCCCAAAACGTCCATATGATTATGAGAGACGCCGTAGTGGAGGGCTCCGGCTTTTTTGACCTCCTGGGGTTCTTTAACGTGCACCCAAATCTGAGCACACTGGCCTACAACATTTCCGCCTCCATCTGAAATGCAGCTGCCGCAGCCTGGATACGAACCCGCGACCTGCGGGTCAGCAGCCGAGTACCTTAGCCACTAGACCACCGCGGCGGGGCCATCGGTGACACTCAAATTAAATTTGGAATGTACCGAGGCGACTGCGTTATCTGTAGAAGCATGTCAGGTGGTTTTGGGACGTTAAACCCTTCATATCAATCAAGCATGTCTAATACTCAAGATCAGGATGAACTGAATAGTTTTTTTCGTCATTTTGTAACGGGAGTGATACATGGCAAACATCAAAAAGGCCGTATGTTCATGATCTTTTCAAATAGGAATTAGCATGTTTATTTTACATGCAGTAATGACTATGTAAGTCTAGTGGACATTGCGTAGATCCAATACCATCACTTTAAACTAGTAAAGGCCATCCCAAGGAATCCACGTCGTGTTCTCACGGTCCGTGTCATCAACGGCGATTTGCCAGTATCCGGAGCGAAGGTCGACGGAAGAAAAATATTTCGCGCTGTGAAGGCAATCCAAGGCAGTGCTTATGCATGGCAAAAGGTAGATGTCCTTCTTCGTCATCACTTTTAAATGCCCATAATCGGCGCAAATTACCAGCTGTTGTACTTCTTTTTAACAACTACAGCAGGGGACATGCATGGACTGCGGGAAGGCTTGATAATATTCCAAGAAATCGTCTTGTCGACTTCCCGTTGGATGACGCGTTGGTCGGTATGGGAAATGCGGTGGGGTCACCGATGGATGGGACCCGCATCGCCTGTGTCAATCCGATGCTTAACAGTGAACGTTTGACCGAAAGTGTGGCTGCCAAGGTCAAAGATGTTCCAAAAGGATGCAAAGAGAGAATGTTGGATGTTAGCTTGTTGGGTTGGTAAGTCAGGCCAATCATCCTGGTTAACACTTTGCTATGACACAGTAGTAGGCGAAAGTTTCTTTGCACACGGGGTGCTGTCATAACCTAGAGTGCAAATAGGACACTTTGCCGCCGGCATGATATCCACGAGGGATCTACCAAGGACTTGTGTGCATAGGCTAAAATTCACTATTGATAGACAGGATGCATTGTTGTTATAGTAATTACAGATTGAGAAAATTCAATGTTGTGCAAAAGCAGGACTCAGTTGACTCATACAGCAATAATTATTAAAACTGTTTGACGTAAGTACATCAGGACTGGTGAAAGAACATGTTGCAACAGGTTGATATGCGCAGTAGAGATTCTTCGTACTACAAATAAAGCACAGAGAAGCAATACCGAAATAATCCCATGCACATGCAGATTAACTTGTCCGTATGTATGGTACCCAGATAGCATTGTGTCCCGGTCTGTGAGAAGTTTCTTGTTCCTTTATCTATGAGAGTGTATATGTGATATGAAACACGTGGCCACCTCTGGTTCACTTTTACGTGGATCAGCAAGCAAGAATGAAAGTAACACACCACGTGGTGTTTGTGCATTCAGTGCTGGGAATTTCTTCGCCGAAGTCCATTCTTTGCCTCAATTTTTGGCTTTCGGAACGTGGTTTCTATTTAGCCCCCACAACTTGACTTGCTCTCTTGATAAACGAGTGAGGGCGAATCAAACCCTAGGGTTAGCTTACCATGATGAACTGCACACCTAGACTCAGAGAAAAAAAATGCGTCTACTTACCAATTCAATGCTGATCATAAACGACGCAGTGTGCAGCTTATTATAAAGTGTGGCATTTTGTTTCGCTCTAGTTAACAGCTTTTTATTTTGTTTGAGTTAACCTTTCATTTTGTCATTTGCTTTTTTTGATGGATGGTTAAATGTCGAGGTAGTTTTGTAACTGAAGCCTTTTATTTTGTTTGTACTGGCTAACAGCCTTTTTATAGCCTTTTTGTTGTTTAGAGATGTATTGGTTTCAACATATACTCTAGACACCAGGCGGCAGTTTATGGACGGATGGACAATGTGCGGTTTCAGGGTAATTCGCCCCTAAAAAAAAGTTGGCAGCGTATCTGCGTGCTTTGTTGGGAAAGGTCGTTAAAAGACGATAGTCTTTTGTCTGGAGAAAGAGAATAACACGTTTATTTGACGTTCTGCGCGAGAAAATCGGCGAGTAGGTGCTGCATGAGATATGGAGGCAATCTAGCAGTAATTTGAAAAAAGGAAGTTTTCCTAGCATGCAAAGTCACTGGTAGGTAACCGCATCATGTAGTGTTATTGAAGCGTAGGAAACACCTGTTTTTTTCAGTCAGAGCGTCACACTGCCAGTGGCACGTAATACGCACTGCGCTTTTTATAAATACATATCTATGTATTTTAGAAATAAAATAACACACTATCTTATGACCCCATTGTCGGGCTGCCGCGCTAAAATATGCCTGTTATTTGTTTGTTTTTATTGACATTGTCAGCACGTCTGAACACAGAAGCCAGATCAAGGTGACTGGTCGCTTCGTCATTCTATTTAATGGAGTGACCGACAAAAAAGCAGGAAAGACACATGCACAGACCAAATTTTCTGCGTCGAAAACTTCCAAGAAAGACTATAGTGTTTAGAGTAGGCCTAAAAAACAAACGAGGGCATGTGCTTGAGCAGGCGTTTCACATGCAACGTAGCCCACAAGTTCACTGAAACGACCACGCAGCTGCGACCATTGCGATACCTGGTGAAGCCGATCTCAACCGCAAGGTTCCTTCTGTGTGGCCTCCGAGATTCGCTTCGGCAGTACGAGGGAGCATAAAACTAACACAAGGGATTGACAAGTGTTTGCAAAGCCCACCTGCGAATGACGCATCCTGACTCTTAAGTTAAGGATTAGTGTCTCTACCTTGCTTAGTTTTAATGTGTACATAATTACCACTTCAATGCGTGCGAAAGTGACGCAGTATTTTGTGCCTATGCTATTTCCATCGCCTGCGAATTGCGTCAGAGTTGGTATATTGAAAGGCCATCACGGAGAATTGTGTACCCGATCGTCCAAAGTAACGGTGATGTCTTGTTTACGGAAGGAAAAAGCTAAGAGTAGGAGTAAAATAGCACGATGAGATCTTTTTTATTTTGAGCTAGCACACGCTTTTTCAAATGTGTACATCTGTTGCTCGACATTGTATTTCAAGACGACGTCGGTGCAACAACAATTAAACAATGCTCATGGGGGCTATAACAAAATACGCTCTTGAAAAATGCAAACATACTGTACAAGTGTCTTGAAAGCGCTTAAAGCGAATTGTCTTGAAAGCCGATCAACTTGGTATATTGAGCTGTAGTGGAATAAGCAGGGTGGACAGTTGAAGTGCCTCAGACAGGCTGGCCGTCATTTAAGTGGGAGGACCTATCTTTGTCGAAGCTCCTCCTATGGAAACGTCGGCCAGCTTGTCTGAGGCACTTTCACTGTTCACACTGATTATACCACTGTGGGTTTCCATCTGTCAGCTTCCATCTCGATTTTGGATATTCAGCTACACAACTACATAAAAATGACAATCAGAAAATTAGCAAATATAAATTGTGCCCCAAACAATGGCACTCATGATGAACGGATACACAAATTCAGTGTGACAGCATAAAGTGAACATATGCACTAGCCCCACAATTAGGTATCTTCTCTTCTAGATGAAAAACATTGCATATAAAAGGAAAGTAGCAAGAATACTTTCACAAGTCGAAAAAAGTGCTCAAGCTAATTGCTCAAGAAAACTTTTCAGGTAAATTTTGTATTATGGTTTACAGAAAATTTATTTAAGATTTTATGCCTGTACAGAATTCCTCATTCTCTACTCACTTGAAGTAGAGGAAGGGATAGCTGTCATTCTATATTCAACAAAATTTAACAAAGATATAATGCATGCACACAGTTCATTCTCTACTTCGTGGGAGTAGAGGAAGGATTAGCTATCATTCTATTTTTACACTAAATTTAACAGAGATTCAATTCTTGAACACAATGCTTCATTTCTCTTCCATAGGTGTAGAGGAAGGAGTAGCTATAAATATATATTCAACCAAATTTATCGAAAATACAATGAATGCACATATTCTATTGTCCATTCCCTGGGGATAGAGAAAGAAGTAGCTATCAATCTATTTTTCACATAAAGTTTAACAGAGATTAAATCTTGCACACAATCCCTCATTTTCTATTCCATAGGATTAGAGAAAGAAGTAGCTGTCGCTCTGAAAGCATGATGTCACAAAAATACTTGGACGGACCAAGCATTTTGTAACAGCTGTTAAGGATATGATGCTTGTCCTGATATGTATGAAAACATAAAGAAAACTTATCTTTTTCAAGTGGCTTGTCCTGATATGTATCAGAACATAAGCAGTACTGATGACTTCAAGGAGGTCGGCGACAATGGTAGTACACATTTGAAGCTAAGTCGCTGGATAAAATAGTTACTAGCAGCGTAGTATGCTACTTGCAACTTAACAGTACAAAGGTGATCAGAAGGAGTGTCATCGTGATTGCTGAAAAAGTCATTTCAATTGTGTTTGAGCAACAGCGTCATAAGACTTATGAAAGCATCTTACGCTTCGTGTGTGAATTCATTCTACGAGACGTCGCTACTGACGCTGGTGCATACATGCAAATCTACAGTATATAGTAAATGTCAGCACGTTAATCACTTTTAACCACCAAAATTAGGATATTCTAAGAGGTTTTCATTAATAAATAATTGAGAAGAAACTGTAGCCTAACACGGTTGGTTATGAGGGCACAAGAAATAAGAAAATTTTGGTGCTTCAGATACGTCAAAAATTATGAATCAGGTCCTCTTCATGCTGAGATTCTTTCTGTACTTAAATATTCATGGGATTGAACTAATTGCAGTTTGCTACATGTTGAGGTAATGGAAGTAGATTGATGCCATCACTAAACACAATATTAAGACAAAGACTGTGATTATCACACTTTTAACGAAACATGAGGTAGGCAGATATATTGCCCAATACTTGTTGCGACATTCTGTTTTATTTGTTTTTCCCTCCAACAGTTCTCAGCCGCCGTCATAAACATGAAAATTGTAAAATGAGTGCAGTTGCCAATTTTGGTGCAACGAGCAGGAGCAGATAATGATGGGCATAGACACCTTCATAACATGCTTTGACAATGACGTAAGAGAAGTAGTTTTCAGGCACAACTGTCACCAAATGATAGGAAGTGGTGGTCCCTTCCTTTCACGGGCAGATGTTCTTGAGCACCCACAAGGTGGCGACTAGCATGGGAGTTCCCCTGAAGAACAGCCGAGGCGAGAAAGGCATCGCTGTGTGTGCCTCACTCAGTCCGTGCTGACACAATGGGTAGCCATATGCGGAGCATAACTATCAATTACCACACTGGTCCTTCAGAGGTCACGAGACACGAGATAGGTCCGAGTACAGAGAATAGTCACGCTCACTCTTGAACGAGGTGAGCCTGGTTACCGTAGCACGTCCTAGCAACCTTTCCTCTTGGCTGTTGCGGTGGTGGTGCGAAATCCATGGCACCGAGGGACCAGCCTGCGAAAGCAGACAAATGCAAGAATAAATAGTTGTTCACTGACAGAAAAAGAAAAAAAGAATGATACCCAAGTGCTTTGCACAAGTGACTTCACACGTGGGCCTGGTGTCTAATAACCAACGTGGCTAACCTAGTGGTAGAGTCTATCCCTGTCAATGGTTATGCAGTTCCATTATTCTTAATATGCATTTTAATTTGTGTTTAAGTTCTTCACTTTAGTTGACGATTAGTGAGTAGCGGTGTGTGCCCGATTTGTTTTGAGCATACAATCTAGGTTTTCTTGCTTACATAGCATGGGACTACTCTGATATCTCCAAGCGATATTCATTGTAGCATCACGAGTCTATTCAGCATAATTGTTTGATACCTTCAAGAAAACTATATGGACAGGTTTACAGATGAGGAAAGTAGACAAGGGTAACTTTATTGATTTTTTGTGCAATTATTCTGCATTTGTGAACGTAAGTAAACTTAGTAATAAAGAATGCACAAACAAATATAGAGAAGAATGTTGACAAAATAGGTTTGCTTAATAAAGAGCATTCATGCAAGCAATATTTCTGCTGTAAATAAATCCGAGTTTCAGTCTGCCCTTTTTTGTGTCCCACTTTATTGCACCCCGTTCGTTTGCGCTGCAAAGTTTACACTATGAACAACACAACAAAAGCACGATCACTTGGACAAGCAGATCAGCACTCGTCTGGTTGTGTTTATTTTTCATGCTTTTTTTTGGCGCTACTACAGGCTATTCGCAAGATGAACCGACCAGCCCAAACCAAGTTGTGGCCATAGCTTTCCCTGCCTGCCTTTGTTGATACCAAGAAGCCAAATTCTTCTTATTGCGTCTCTTGGAACTTTTGTCCCCTGTCTAAGACTTTCGTTTGGTGTGAGAAAATACGTTAACAGTTACGTAATCCTTTTCCACAAAGTAGCCATGCACACAGATTATCATTACCTCGTCCGGCTCGGGACGCCACACGTCTAGTAGCGTGGCATAGTCGTCGTCATCTGGTCGCCGAGCTGCCGCCACCATTCGCTTCTTCTCGCACTGGTAAGTAGGCGGGGGCGCCTTCTTCGGCGCCAGTAGCGACATGGCCGCCGCCGACCAAACGACCCACTGCACCGTCACGGCCGCTGCAGCTGCCGCCATTAGGCAGTCCCTGCTGGACGCGTAAGCTCGCACGAGATCGTGCGCCAGTGGCGCCCCGGAGAGTGCTGCGAGCACGAGGAGGACTAGAAGTAGGCCGGCGCCGGCGCCTCGCCGGCGGTCCAGCGTTGCAGTACAATAGAGAACCGGACCCGAAAGGGCGACCGACGCTCCATGGGCTACCAGTAGTAGCAGTACCGTAGCGGGGTCTGTCAGTAACGATGGCGGCACAGCGCCGGCAACATGGGCCTGCGATGAAAAAGGAAATGGTTATTGGCGGCGATAGCGTTATAGCGACTTTTTCGTCTTCCTGCATTATTAAGGACCATAGTCTTCCTTGAGTTGCTTGAATGAAATTATTTCGATCTGCCTTTTTTTCTGTCTGTCTGTCACGCAATTCAGCTAACTGGCCAAAGTTTAAGCACTTGCTGTAAGTCTAGACATCTTGAACTCGTGGCTGCTTTTATAAATTTCGAATAATGTCGATCAAAAAGCAAATATTATGCATATATCAGGGGCAACATCTACACATAAATATTAGGTGATGCGTTTCTTCACTATAGAATACACAGATACCTAATTTAAAATACATAGTGCTTATTACGTTATACTAAAAATTTAACAGTATGCACAAGAAATACTGTTGACAGGAGACAGTAATATTTCGACGACATTTAAGGCAAAGCACATAACTATACGCATCCATTTTTCAACTCAGTCCTCTCCCCAAAGCAATGCTGAGCCGTGAATAATTATGGGGTGCAGAAATATGAGTCCTTGCTGTCCTCAAACTTCAAAAGGTTTTGAGGTGAGCTTGTTGGTACATATCTATTAGCATACACAGTGCCTAATAAAACAGGTACAGATAAGACAAGAACTATGATGGGCATCGACTACCAACCCTTTCGCACCTCTGTGTGTGTGTGTATGTGTGTGTGTGTGTGTGTGTGTGCGTGCGTGCGTGTGTGTTAACATGCTATAAATGCGCTGTTTGCAGTCAGCACTTATGTGTATGTGCTGAAACTACTTCGGTTTTATATGAGAAAAATACGGAGCACGGAGGAGCTGTTTAGATTGATAGTAGCAAATTTCCTATTTCATTGTAGAGGTATAATGAAGAAGTAAATATAGCCAACTGAAGACGGAGGAAGAAAAGAAATGTAGCCTGATCATAGAGCCGTTGCACATGTCAAAAAAGAGGTGGTGTACTTCTGCAAAATGTAATTTATTTGAGCGACCTGCAATGATGCAATAGGTATTTTAATACACCACGGAGAGGCTAATATAGCCTTGAAGAAAACTCCACGCAAGCAGGCGAGCAACATCCAATCCTGAATTGATTGCTGACTCCATCGTACAGCCTTCCAATTCCACCATAACAACCAGCTGTCTACTGTGCACGACCAAGTTTAGGTTGTCATGATGAGCATCAGCACAATGAATGCTTATAAGCACATCAGCCATTCATACAAAATCTTGCAAGTGAGCTCTACTGCACGAATATCACCATGCGCCCGCTCACTGTACCTACCTTGTAAAGCACGGAGGCAGCAGGGATTAGCAGTATCCTCTGCATCGCGCAGAGTGCCATGTACAGAGCGAAGAGGAGAGAGAAACAGCGCTTAGAGTCCCAGGCCACCATGGGATAGCGCAGTGCGCACACCACCAGAGCCAGAACGTAGTTGACGAACTCCACTGAGGGTGGATCGGCATCGGAGGGAGACTCGGCCAGGTTTTCCGGGAAGAAAGCCGTCTGACGCTCGCGCGGAGACATCACGACATCCAGGTCAGTCCGCCAGACATCACCTGCGCATCGTCAGGAGTGCATCTAAGAAAAAGACTTTCATAGTTTCTATACATGCGACAATGACCCGCGACAACAGCATTCGATAATAGAGATTTGTGGGATCTTACGTCCCGAAGCCACAAAATATCTACGAAGGGCACCATAGTGGAGTGGTCCGGAAATTCTGACAACAAGGTGTTCGTTCACATGAATTGCGCTTCCATATCTAAATATCTACCCCAGCCGAAGTTTGCTAGCATGCTACCTTCGGGTCTGATTAAATGGTATAACAAGAAGCAAACTATTCAACTAAATGCAACAATTGCCGATGCAATTGGAGTATGCTTAAGATAGCGTCTTATTCAAAACATTCAAGTGATAATCATGAAAATAAAAATTAAGCCAAATAATTTTTATGACACTTTGTGCGAAGTCAACGTGCATCTAGGGAAGTTCCGTATGCGTGACGGAGTTCTCTGGTGACAAGCTTTGTAAATAGGTTAATTAAACAGTATAACGATACTAAGCTAAAACCACCTACCTACTGGCCTCAGATCTCGCAAGATTCACGTTTCATACCTGGAAGGCATTCGAAACTTTCGAGGGGCTCCAGACAAAAGGCTTCTTTGGCCTGTTAAATGATTACATACAATTAGTGATCGAGCGTAAGAATGTGACGACAAACTGGACACTTTCATGAAACTTCACCCAAAGGCAAGATGCTAGAGGCCCGTGTACTTAATCTAGGTGCACGTTGAAGAACACCAGATGGTCAAAATTTCGGAGTCCTCCACTTCATAGTGCCTTATAAAAGTACCGTATTCCTTGAATGCAAAAACACCGAATATTGTTACTAAACGACCTGGTACTAAGCGTCCTGTGTCACTGAGCGTCCTGTATATGCGTTTTCTCCGTTTGTGTGGTCGAGAATCTGGTGCGAAATTGACTATTGCATTTGAACATGCACCAACTAGCCAGCCCTACATCGAGTTCTACTATTGTCACCAAAACTCACCGGTGGGCCGCAGTCCGTAACCAATACACGCAGCATTGGCTATCAGTCGCGGAAGCAGCAGGCACAACGCCGATGCAGCGTGCAGCGCCGCCGCCGTCGGAGGACCGTGTCGCCAAAAGAGCCTCGGCAGCGACGATGACCTCTTGGCGTCCTCGTCGTCGTCGTGATCGTCTTCGAGTCCATCGTTGGCCAGGTTGCCGACGCGTACAAGCGCAGCGGCTGCCACGAACGGCAGCAGAAGCACGCCGGCACCCACGAGGGCGACGTAGGCGTGCAGCAGCTCGACCGGAGGAGACAGAGCCGCCAGTTCCGGAAAGCGCCGCACGCTGTGGGCCACGGAAACGGCACTCAAGGCCAGTGCGGCCACACAGTGCCATAGGGAGCCGAGAGTGTTGAGTGGCCCGGGGCCTGCGGAACGATTGGTGCTTAGAGAGATGGTCTCCGATAACGACCCTCGTAGACACCCATAACGGGACCGAAATAAGCACGCATAGCACATGGGGAAGGGAAATGAAAGGTCTAGGGTGCAAGGAGAGAGCAGAGTGGGTCAAAAAAACTAGTGTGGGTTTAGGATAGCGTAGTCGAAAAGAATCAGGAGGAAGAGACATGGGGAGAGCAATAAGCACTAAGGCAAGATAACCGCTGGTCATTAAGAGTCTACAACAGACCGGATACCAAAAGACAGCATGCTTATAAGACGACAATGCTTACAGGTCTTCCTCATAGGGCTTGTGATGCGTTGCAAGGTCCTTCTTTTCTAGTACATAGGGTTGTCCATGATCAAAATAATGATGTGAGTTTGCGCATTACCCTTTGTTCTTTCTAGTTTTCTGGTCCGTATCATACCTTGCATTGCATCGCAAGCATGACAAGAAGGCATGTGCACAAAGAGCAGACATAAGGTTACGTGGAATGTGAGAGGGGGGGCGGTGAGGCAGATTAGATTAGGAAATTTGCGAGAAGAAGGCGGGTGCAACAAGCGCAGGACCGGGTTGATTGGCGAAACATGAGAGATGACTTTTTAGTACAGCGGTCGTAGTCATCCTGATGATGACAGAGCGCATACATACAGGGGTTTTCCAGCTAACACGGAATAAAAATATTATAAGCCAGCGCCTATCCGTGTGGAAGGTGGGGCGTCCAAACATCAATACAAGAAACCACAACACAGTAACGAGTAAGGCGTGCAGACCCTAACCCAAGAGAAGACAATAGAGACCAGGTGGGGTACTGTACACATCTCTTTGATCCATGCTTGCGCACATCATCATCTTCTACAAAAAACCCTGACCAACTCACCCAACTTTAGTATAGTACAATGCTTCTAGGTGAGATCTCACTTTGCATATCGCAAGTTTCCACAAAAACTACCAGATGGAAGTCCGATAAAAGCGTCTCTTACTGAAGTACACCGGCTTGGTTAACCTCTACTAAAAATAGGTGTATGATGCAAGGATTTTACCTAAGCTTTAACTTGTGGTGTTGCATCTGACTCGGCTGAGAAACTCTGGTACCCACAGTGTCACCAAAGTCCCGTTGCTGTACAGCAACTACGCGTTCACGTCCTGTATGCCTACACAATCGCGCATTCGTAATAACGAGAGCAGAGCGGCAATAAAGCATTTATTTGGTGAACTGCGAGGTCACAAGTTCTACAATGGCTGCGGTATATTATCTGATAAAACCGATTTCCGACATTATTGGGACATCTTTCACTCTTGAACCACAGCTAAATAAAAAAAAAAACTTACCACAGAGTTTGTTACAAAGGTAAACCTCCCGAGTCGGTTCGCAGTATTGGCGCTATAGCCAACACAATCTGCCCTTTTATATTTCCTTTTCGTGTTTATTCCAAAGTCGAATCAGCCATGAAGTGGATAACTTGTTCCATGCAATCTAGCCTTCGTATCATGTCTGTTCCGCTATAGCCGCGACTGAAACGAAGCACGATTGTATCTTCAGTCGCTTTATATAAGCTGATTCGACATGCAAGCCGTCAATAGTACCGAATTTGCCAGCAGATTTCGACAGCCATTCACTTTGTATACAGAATGGTCATTGAGAGCATATACTTGGGACAGGCGCATACGTCTATATAAAGGTACGCTACATTGTTCGGCGCGAATGACACTAAGTACAAATTTTACTTCTCTATGCCAGGCAGATTTTCGTGGGCCACGTACTGTTATCCAAGGTGATAGTTTTTCACGCTTGCAGTCACCAAACAAAGACATGGCCTATGTCCACCGCAGACGAAATACGTGACCAGAGATCTCATTTTTCAAGCTCCACAACAGCTGCGACGATAGCGAAGATATAAAAGGTGAGGAGAAGAAAGCGCACTACTTGAAGCCGGAAGCAAACACACTCAGCCGGAAGTCGGTGGAGCTGGCGCCACGTGTTTCCTTCGTCATATATCGTCTCAGCGTATAGAGATTTCCGTCTTGCTTTTGCTTTTCACTGATAGCTCGGTGCGTGAGTGAAAGAAAGAGCGGTGCGGAATATCGGCGAAGTCGTTGCACAGATTCCTCCTATCACGATGTCTGTACGATCAAAGCGGAACGCATCAAAAGCAAGAAACCAGAAGATTTACCTCTCTAAACAGCCAGACGACAACGCACACGCGAGATTTCACCACAACAGTTCACCCGCATAAAAAAAATCAGAACAGCAGAATAATTGTCATTGGTTATTGTGTACTGCATGCCCTAATATCGTTGTCAGCGGGACTTGTGTCGATCAACATAGAATACATTACGAAAAAGGATTAGCGATAGTACTTTATGGCTGTAACTTCTTACGTTCAGTGGTGCGCCTGTGCCATTGCCAGATAACATTTATCTATAGGTCTAGCCCTGCACACGAACAACCATTCAGGAAAGAAAAAAAAACTTGCATTCATTCGTCGCGCATTGACCTGCAGCCAACGTGATACTGGGTTAAGACTCGACGTAAGTGCGGTTTGTGCCAGCTGGAGTTTACATGTTCACTGACCGACTCAAGCATATTTTATGAGGAGGGAAAGAGCAGTTAACTTGCCAGAACACACGCTTTGCAATTTGATTCTTAGCACCATAGCATAGAAGGGACCTCGACAAGAAATACGAGAGTACCCGCAACGTCAACCTTTTATGTGCATTCGGTGTTATGGTTCCAATAGTAAGCTCCGTGTGGCACCTCGAGTTACATAATAATAGTTTGGACAACAGAGAAATTATATATTTTACTCAATATCAGGTTGTTTATAGTTCGTGGTTCCATTGTTATTCTTAGAAAGGCTTCCATCGCTGCTGCAAAATACGAGCAATCCTTCCAAGCTGCAACAGAGGACTTTTGTTTCTTCAGTGAAGCATTGACTGAGACAACAGGTTTAATCAGCATGGTATCGGCGTTGATAGAAGACAGTTCATATACTTTCCCAGAACTAGGCAGTTCATTCGTGACATTTGGTAGTTCCAGTATATTGGACAAGGGCAGGCCAGCGAAAGCCGGGCCAGTATGCTTACCTTAAATTCAATATGGTGATTGGGCGAGTTGGTTGGTGAAAAAAACAATCAAATTCAAGTCTACAATGGAGCTCCACTTGTATCCAACTTGTTATATTGATGTTTGTGGCGAGAGTCAAGAAAAGTCAAGTGATCGAACTAATCAAGCTTCAATGCTGAAAAATAAACATTACTCATTACTCGTCCTTTCTGCGAATTTTTACAATCTTCCGCCAGCTGTTTCAGACAGGTCAGGTGGCCCAATTGTGTCACATGAGAATACATTCAAATCGAAATTGCGATGACGAGATAGCACTTATAGCAGTGTTTAAACTTCACCACATGCTCCGCTGCCATTGTACTTTAGGGATAACGAGTTGCTCAAGACTACAGGCCGAGTTGTAACACCGGAGTGCACTCAATTAACGAGCTCTCAGAGGCGCTAAAGCGTGCACTTTACAATTACGCTGAGAAATCAGAATCATAGGGTTTAACGCAAGCGGAATATTTTGTCAATTAGCAAGTTCTGCAGGTGTAAAACACTTTGCACAAGACAGCGGTATTTGAACGTGATACCACAGTTTTATTCTCCTCATTGAGCGTGTTTTCAGTGGTGGTGGAATGATCGGGGATTCATGCACAAGCATGTTAATATCGCCGTTGCAATCATAATGCTTTAGTGCATTTGAAAAATAATTTAATTCGTTAGATCCAGGATATTGTACAGTTCATTCGGGTAGTTCCACAGCCAAGTGTAGCCATCCCGCAAGCGTAACTCTTTTAACCGTTGCTTTATCTACCATGCGTCGTAAAGCACTCCCAGTAAACGTCTACACCATTCGCCACGACCGCGTCTTCCCCTCCCGGCTGTGTATATGAAAAAGCCAAGCAACCGATGGGGCTGCTCCAAATGGGTGCCGCAAAACAGTCCTGGTCTATCTCAGAACGGCGCGCGGGGTCCTATCACGCGCCCATCTCAGGGCGAGAGAGTCGAAAACACCCGCCGTAAAAAGAAACATCGGCACTCACCGTTTTTCAGCTGCCGCTGCTGCCGCCGTCCGGCTGCCTCGACGCACATTTCGACAATGCCCCGAAGCACCCCACGCACGCCGGCTCTGCAGTCGGTGGCAACCACGGGTGAGAGAGAGGACGCGAAGACGACAGCGGCGCTCCCCGGCGGAGCACCCAGCTAAACTCGATCGAAGACTCAACGTGTCTAGACTGGCCTGGGTCTTTTGAGTATAAAGTGGGATGGGTTGGGTTAAAACGGATATTTGCGTTGAATTGATAAAATGTGTTTCAGGGCTTGTCGTGAACGAATGAAACCAAGGGAGCGGCGCACCCATAGATGAGGAAAGGATACGAAGTGACAAGGACAAACAGCACTACTGTTTTACTTCTGGAACATATACGTCAGCAGGTATGAGCAAAAGGGGTGCTTTGACCCCTCAAGCGACATCAGCACTTGCCTATACCACCCTCCATGCACCCAAGCCCCATCAGAATTTGGGAGGGAGGGAGGCGGGGGTGCAAGCTCGCGAATCAACACAGGCGTGCAACCCCCAAGGTAAAATCCTGCCTACGCCCATGTTCAGGAACAACGGCTACACAGCAATGTCAAAAGTAAACATGAAAAGTCGTCTTCCAAGAAAGGAAACACGTGTGGCCGCGCCACACAATCGAGCGTCGACGTCGTACAATTCTATGAAGTATGTCTCAGCCAACGCTCTTACAACTGTGCCCTTGTCCTGTTTCTCCGCCTCTTGCTTTTTTACCACTAATCTGAATTAACGCGTATGAATGTTAACGCAGTAAGAATGTAAAGGTGCCAAAATTAGCTTTTTTCTAAGGAAGTACGGACGTGTCTTACAAAGCATATCAATACACTTCAGAAAATGCGGATAAATTAAGGGCAAACGCAGAGTTCAGGGCATTACGCTTAATGATGCAACTCCATACTCTTTGCTCATGCGAAACTAAAGCAAGTATTCCCAAGTAGGATCCCCGCAAGCATGAAGGGCCATGATGACTCTGTTGAGCTTTATGTATGTATGTATGTATGTATGTATGTATGTATGTATGTATGTATGTATGTATGTATGTATGCATGCATGCATGTATGCATGCATGCATGCATGCATGCATGCATGTATGTATGTATGCATGCATGCATGTATGTATGTATGTATGTATGTATGTATGTATGTATGTATGTATGTATGTATGTATGTATGTATGTATGTATGTATGTATGTATGTATGTATGTATGTATGTATGTATAAATGAGAAGCTTTTTTTCGAAATTGGCCAGGTTCAAAACCGAAACTAGCTGGTATAAGGTTCTACTGGAACATACCTACTTTATATTTTCTAAAAAAAATTACTAACAATTTATTAACAATAATGAGGAATTTATTATAACTGTTTTAGAAGAAAGTTAAAAAGTATGTATGTGCCGAAAGAGCCTTATCTACCTCGTTCCAGTTTTGTAAGTTGGCCCATTTCGAAAAAAAAGAAAGCTCCTCGTATGTACATGATATCGATCTGTCGGCGTTTCTAACAGCCAAGCTTTTGTTGGACATCACCAGAAGATAAACGTCCATGTGAGGTGCCATGTCCAACTATGAAAACTAGCTAAGTAGTCATTCTCTCGAAACACTTGGAAACCAAAGAGCGAATGTCTGTTCATTTGCTCATCTAGCTGCTCTGTGAGTAGCGTCCGGGATTGTTCCTCCACAGCGCACAATATTTACGGGCATCGGGCAACCTTCGTCAGATATCCTATACTGAAATTACCGAAACGGATCCCGCAGAGAAAAGTGTGGGAATTGAGAGATAGAAAACTGTGGAAACGAGAGCTCGGATTTTTGAAACCTATCTATACCCGCAATATCGCACGTCAGAGTGTGGTACGCGTATCATTCAAAGCGTGGTTCTCGCCTCCTGTTGGGTGATGCTCAGCCGCGGAGGAGGTATACGTCGCTCCCTCCAATGTCGCACGCTCGCCCCGTGTTAGCTTTCTGCTCCGTTCTTCTCGACATTGGTATTACACCGTGGCCTCGACCGACGCCAGCTGAACCACTCTTTGCCTTGCGCTGTCGTTTCGATCATTTTGTCTTCCTTTCGCACCAGTTCAGTGTTCTTCATCTTTGTTATCGCTCGTGATGCCGGTAAACGAAGCCGAAGACAATGAGGAGGTACTGTGGGTGGAGGCGCGCTATGCGGTTTGCACGAACATCGAAATTCCGCCATTGTGCTGCAAGTTTTGACTTCACAGACGCTTGCCGCGGCGGAACTGAGCTGTCAGTGGTGGCCAGTCGAGAATCCGACACACCCACGGTCGCTGGAGCCACAAAGGCACTGAGTTTTTCCGATATTGTCAGACTCGATATGTGTTCCGAATCGGTATCCATAGAGTTTTCTACCAATACATTAAAAGGAACGCTGGCGCTAGTGTCTACGGGAGCTGCAACGAATGGCGCTTCAGTGATACACGGGAATGATGGGTAGTACATGGGCTTGCCTAATTTCTGTACTTTCGGCTCCATTTGGCTTCGCTTGGCTTGATGCTGTTTTTTCACGAAACGAATATCAACAAGTGTTCAGCAGTTGCACTTCCCCGCTTTGACGTTTTACGCACATCAATTTCAAATAGGTCACGAAGTTCAAGACGGTTCGTTATTTCATTCGAATCAAAACCAAAACACGGCAATAAACGAAGCCACAACTGCGTTTTAAGCCCGCAAGTACGAAGCCTAAGCAAATACCCGTACCATTCATTATTCCCATGGTCGCTGAGCTATCGCAGCACCAAGGTTTCCTCTAGTTTTTTTTTCTAGGAAACTCTATGCCCGTATGCCAACGTGAAAAACAATTAGGTGCCCCACTACAATAGGAATAAAGCTCATCACCTCCCATACTCAAGGTGGGGCATTCTATAGGTTCGATTCCTAGAGCCAAGAGTCGCACACTGAGAGAAACACGCTTAGCTGAAGGCTGCCTGGGCGCCGTCATAGTTTTCTGTGAGCTGCTGTTAATATGCGTGACCCCCGCTCCCCTAAACCTATCACTGCTGAGGCCGTGACGTTAGCTTTTGTGCTCCCGTGCAGCAACCCAGAAAGGTGGCGTCCTCGACTTCATTAAAAACCAGTATATAAAAAGAGACTTGACAAAAGAATACGTACGCGCTCGGAAAGCATTTTCCCTAAATGACTTTACACATGGACCTATTTGTTCTCGCTTAGATTTACGCTCAGACATGTATTCAGAAGGATGTTACGGCCCGAGAACGTCCACCAGTTCTAGTCACACATTGCGTGAAATGCTTACAGAACTTGCCGATATAGCCCTAGAAGTTTCAAAGCACCTGGAAACCCAATTTAAGATGGTGGACCCCGCTGACTCGTCCGAGAGAAGTGGCTTCCACGGTTACACGATTGGAATCGCTCTTAACAAGGTGGATATTTCGTTCAGTGAAATGTTGTTTGAGAACTGCTTTTAAACATTTAATTTTTTTATAAAAATACTAATATCAGGCGTCCTACGTCCCAGGTTGCCATTATGACATACGCCGTAGCGGAGCACTCCAAATATTTTGACCTTCTGGTGATTTTCAACGTGTGCCGAGCACCGTAAACAGTGTTTCGCCGAAGCTGGCAACAGTGTCTTTATTATTACTTAGATGTGTGCTCTCCAAAAGGCCAAAAAAGCACTGAACAAGCCGTCATGACTTCTTACCTCTCCACAACTTCTTCTCTCACTTTTACAAATTGCAAAGCTTCTTTTTTCGGAGTACTTAGGCGCTGAGCGCATGCGAAATGAAGTTAGCGACCGGCAGTGCGTCACGTAAGCTTCGAGCGTTCCACCTAACCACGCAGCTAAGTCTATCTATCTATCTATCTATCTATCTATCTATCTATCTATCTATCTATCTATCTATCTATCTATCTATCTATCTATCTATCTATCTATCTATCTATCTATCTATCTATCTATCTATCTAAGATCTTTAGTAGACCACGTTACGTAAGAGGTCGCATTCACAGTCGCGTAGTGACGTTGTAATTTATAATTGCACGCATAATGATCAAACTATAATTCATTGATTGATATGTGGGGTTTAACGTCCAAAACAAACATATGATTGTGAGAGACGCCGTAGTGGAGGGCTCCGGAAATTTCGACCAACTGGGGTTCTTTCACGAGCACCCAATGATAAAGCTATATTATAGTGCGCTTAACATAATAAGACTAAGGCACATCGGAAGATTATTGGGAAATCACTTGCACAAACTTAGCAACTTAGGCTGCCCAAAAATCTTCGAAAAGAAGCGTTTTCGCATTCCCTTTCTATCAACGTGAGACCCTTAATTCAGACTAGGAATCGAACTAACGACCTCCTCGTACCACAGCGGCAGAGAAAGGAAAGATGCACGAGCCGCCTCAGCGAGTACTCAAAACAGGAACGAAATCTTCCCTCCTTTCTTCGTATTCTGTCGCCGCGCAAGACCGCATTGCGGAAAACAACGTTCGCCGCGCAGGTGTGCAGTTAGCACCCAGCGCTGCTGGAGCAAAAGACCCTGATTAGCATGCACGCCGGTACGAGGTTCCACATTTCCGTCGCCTTATCACGGGCGAGATAAAATGTACAACGCGTTGCCGATATTACGCACTAAGAGGACATCTGCTGATGAATTATTAGCGCGCCGGCCTTTGGCGGTGGTGCGCCCGATTTGGCTGGAATTTTAATTGAGCGCGCTCTCTTTCGCTGATAAGTGATCGCCGTAAACAGGTATACTGGGAGTTCTACACGTCGCGTAGACGGTCGGGCAGGAGGGAAAAGCGACGGAAACGCGGCGCACTGTCTGGCGTGTGGCGGTCGCGTGTGCGCCAGGAGAGATAGCAAGGGTGGGGGGCAAGGTGGGGGCACAGGGGGGACACACCATCTGCGCCCCACAGGCGCGCGGCAGCTGGCACACGCCGCCACCAGCTGTAGGGGGGCCACGTCCTTGTGGGGCACCAGGTGGCCACCGCCACGCGCCTATGCTCCGTGAGCGGAATGACCGAGGTGACCCCCC